TTCTGTAAAGATCTACAGCCTTGAAAACCCTATGAAGCAGTTTTACTCTGTCCAAGAGGGTCACTATGAATTGGACAGCTACACACATTTTAGGCTCAATTTTTTTAAAGATTTTGTTAAAAAAAATAATAAATAAAAGGTTTATCACTTATTGGATGTAATACTAAGTAAATTGAAATTCTAGGCTCAGCTTGTGGCCTTCCTTGCTCCCCTGTTCCTTGGCCCTTTGCCCACTGACTTCCATCTCACATCTCACACCTTTAGTTCTGGTTAGCAGTGCCTGTGCAAGCTATAGCCTCAGTTCTTCCTCTAACCTCTACGCTACCTCTCCTAGAATATTATCTACAACAACACTACGACCATAATAGGCATTCAACAAATACCTATGCTTCACCTCCTCCTTCAGCTCAGCTCACTCCTGCTAGGTCTCATCAGCCTGCGCTCTTCAGCAACTGCATCTGGGGAAGGAATAAAAGGGGCAGAGCCAAGGCCAACGCAACCAGAGTGATAATGTACCCAAACCTCTCTCAGAGAGAGCAGGCATTCCCTCAGCTGCATGGTATGATTTTGCTAAAGACAAGCCCAAGGAAGTATCTTACAACCACTCCCTCACAGAGCACAGGTTCTCTTCACCAGGTCAGTGAACAATGCTCAAAGTCTTTACCCTAGGAAAAGAGAATATTAAAGGAGAAAAGAAGATAGAAGTTCACAAGAAAAATTGCCAGGCAAGAAGAGCTTATCATTTTGCAGCTTCTCTGAAATATGAGCAGGGATTCAATGCTGTATTATGTTCCCTCCCTTATTCAGAATTTAGTTCTCATAAATGATTTCTCTTCAAAACAGTATCAAGCAAGCTAATACATATTAAAGTTAGAAGACATTAAGCCTCACTCCTCTTACCTTGATGGAAACATGCAGTCATTTTCTCGGTATAATCTGTTCTTAATGATCTGATAGTGGGTCCCGAGCTTGCGTCTGACCACCTCTGTCATCATCTTCTTGGAGATGCCCCCTCGGAAAGGAGTCAGATCCTGTTCTATGACACTGAAAAAGAATGAAAATTATCACTGAAACCAAGCCAAGAAAATGTGAGATCATTCCATGTTATTTCTTGTCTGTGTATTTCAGTTTAGTGTTAGATAACACAGTAAGTGGAGGGAAAGACTAGAAAGCAGGATTGAGCAACTCTTCCCCAGAAGCATCACAGGTAATCTAAAACATCCACAAAAATGAAGTCACAAAAAGTTAAAAAAAGAAAGTCAATCGCTCCTTTACCTATTCCACCTGGATCATCCCTTCTTGATCCATACTCCTACTACTCCATGTTGCTCATGCCACCCCCATGGTCACCAAGTCACTGCAGTCTCCACTGACCCCCCCTTTCCTGAGTCTCACAAAGGGACAGTTTGTGCCATATAGTCTAAAATGATGTGACTCCCTTTCTCTGGTCAGCTTGACCCACATCCATGTCCCTGTGCTCTATATGCCTAGCAGCAATAATCAGAACATAATTCTCATATATCTTTTAAAGCTCAGCACATGGTTGGTGGCCAGTGGGATAATTAGTGGGAGATTTGGGGCTAGAACCCAAGCCTGTTGACAGCATGTAAAGACAGCTTTCAACCATTCTATAATCTAATTTACATAGCTTCAAAATAACTAACAGGAAATCGACGGTATTCATAAATATGTTTATTCAGCAAAATTTAGTATTTACTAAGGGCCGGCACTGGTAATAAAACAAAAAAGTAATAGACCCTGACTTCAAGAAGCTTCCAGGCCAGTGGGGAAAACAGTCATGTATATAAATTTTTCTGTTCTTAAAATATTCTTGGTCTCTTGCCATTATAATGCTTCTCCTGGACCTTAGTATACTTTCTCCTGACAAGAACTAAATTCCCCAAAGGCAATCAAGGGAAAAACTTACCCATGGTAGCAGCTGCAGTTTTGACTTGAACATGGTTCATATTTTTCCAAAGACCTGTTAATCTGGTCAATGAATACTTTCCATTTTGAAACTGCAAAAAATGAAGCAAATAAGAATTTTAAAAAATACCCATAAACATTCCTATTTGATGACAGATGACTTACAGATACCGCCAAAGGTAAAACATTAGATACCACTTCCTAACTCTCCAGCATTTATGTTCAATTGGCTCCTCAGCTTAAGTTGTCAACAGTCCAAGACATCGGAAAATTCCCAAGCTGAATGAATGCCTGGCACTGAGACTGTTGTTATGAGCTGAAACTGACTCATAGCTGACCCTCCAATGGGTTTACAAAGGCTGTAAATCTCATGAGAGGTCCATCTTTCCACGATGAGGTCTGCTGGTGGATTCGAACTGGGCTGGCAGAGCAACCCCTTAGCCATTAGGCCACCAAGAAGACGGTGACACTGATTTTTTCACCTATTAATCAAACAAGACTTACAGAGCGGATCAATTAACGAACAGACAATCCATTCCGAGTATTAGGGAGTCCAAGAATTGCCCTGCACAGCATACCCACTGTGGTTTCCGAATTAATTCCCTCTCCTCCCCAACCTCTACTCCAAAACTGGAGAACAGGTTAGTCTCCAGACTCCAGAACAGGAGAAACAAGCTAGCCACCCAGACGCCCTCACTCTCTGCCCAGCTCCGCACGCCCGCGCCCACAGCATCCCGCTGGGCGCCCGCTGCAATCGGAAGCGAGAGCGTCTCCAGATGCCAATCACACCCACAAGCCCCTGCCCAGAGATCCCCACCTGACTCCTTCTGGCGGCCCAGCGCTGGGGACAAGAAGAACAAAAGCAGCCACACGGCGACCGGTGAGCGCGTCCACAGCTCCATGCCTTGCGGCTCCGCGGCGGATTCTCGCGCCGGCGCCGGCACCAGCGGAAGCGCGGCCCCGCACAAAGATGGCCAAGAAAGCCGCGCAAGCGGGCAGCCGGGAGCCCCGCACAAAGATGGCCACGCGGCGCGCTCCTTCCTCCTCCCCGCCTTCCGGCTGCGTCAGGGTCTCCCCGCGAAGGGAGCGCGAAAGAGCTCGGCCGCAGAACTGGTTAGTTGAGAGAGTCAGCCGCGCTCCATGCAGGCAGGGCATGTCCTTGTTATGGTTTGAGCCAAACTGCAAAATAAGTCGCCTCATGTCAAACGTGTACGTTTAAGGGGATCGTCTCCTTATCTTCTCCAGCATCTCTGGAGAAAGACGATTAATAATAGCAATTGCTGTCCAACACAGAAAACAAAGGCCAGAATTCTCCACCAGGCCAATAGGCAGTATCGTGATAGATGGAGAAAGGATTGAGATTCTGAATTTTTTCCCGCCATCTTGCTTTGATCCACAATCCACCCACTTGGCACCAAAAGTCGGCAGATCAAAAGACAAAGTTGCATTGAGAACATCCAAGGTCAAGGATTTCTCTGCAGTGTCAAAGAGCAACTGTATCAATTTAGAGATTAAGGTGCACCTGATCCAGGTCATGATCTCCTTAATTGCTTGCTATGTATGCATCAGAGAGCTGGACAATGAATGACAGGATAAGAACTGATGCATTTGAGTTGTGATGCTGGAGAAGAATATTATGCATAGCATGGACTGCCAAGAGAACAAATAAGTCTCTTCTGAAGAGGGTGAAACCATCCTGGAGGTAAGGATTTTGAAGCACCGTCTCACATACTTAGGGCATGTCATCCGGAGGGGTCAGTCCTTGGAGAAAGATATCATACTTAGAAGGGTGAAAGGCCAGCACAGGAGAGAAAGACCCTGGATGAGATGGATTGACACTGTAACTGTGGCAATGGGATCAGGTGTGTCAGAGACAGTAAGGTTGGCTCAAGATAGGGGCAGGGTTCAGAGCCATTGTTTACAGGGTCACTATGAGTTGTAGTCAACTCAATGGAACATAACAATATGTCAACACCCTACTGTTAAATTCATTTCGACAAAGTGGAACTGCCTCCTAGGGTTTCTAAGGCTATAAATCATGTATTCTAACTACTAACTTTTTGAGTAATAGCCCAATGCTTAATCCACTTTGTAATGAGGACTTTTTGAATATTTAAAAGACCTTATTTCTAGTAACCATAAAAACATTTCCATAATTTTATGGTTAGTGGCACAGCCATGTCTTCAGATGGAGAGCCAAGACTTGAGCATTTTTTTCCACATCAAACTACTCATTAGCATAGATTGTTTGAAAGAGCACAGGTCTTCCTGAATAAGAATTTATAACAGTTGTAATGACTTCCTCTTCTTGTTAGGTGCCATCAAGTTGGTTCCAGTTCATTAGCGTCCCCATGTATAACAACACAAATAAAATTATGCTGTCTTATGCCATCTTCAAAATTGCCTCCTTTTTTGAGCCCATTGTGGTAGCTCCTGGATCAATCCAGGATTTTCGTCTTATTTGTTGACCCTTTACTTTGCCAAGCATGGTGTCCTTCAACTAATAATATGTCCCAAGTATGTAAAATAAAGTCTCACCATCCTCATATATAAAAAGCATTCTAGCTGTAGTTTTTCAGAAACAGATTTGTGCATTTTCTAGAAGTCCATAATATAGTTAATATACTTTGTCAGCATCATAATTGAAAGATATCAATTCTTCTTCAATCTTCCTTATTCACTGTCCAGCTTTCAAGTGCAGATGAAATGATCAAAAATGCTATGGCTTGAATCAGGTGAACTTTAGTTCTGAAAGTCACATCTTTGCCTTTTAACACTCTAAAGAGATCTTTTGCAATCTACCAAATCACCCAATACTATCACATTGATTCCAATTAGTAATTCCTTGACGAAGATTTTATGTAATGTAATCATCACTGATGGGCTTTGCTCCAAGACACCTGCTGGTTTAAAAGGAGTTTTACTGGTAATGTGGCCTTGCATCGAGTGTGTGAGGAAGTCTAACTGAAATGGCTTGCTTTTTGCTTGTCTCCATCATTCATACATCTAGCCCCTGATCTCTTTGGTTGGTTGGGCCAACCGCCTCTCTTTTATGCTGACGTTGCATTTATCAGTCTCTGCATTACTTGCCATAGACTTGGAACTTGCCATGAACCTAGGATGTGGAAGCAGAGGGATGAGGATGTGCAGGGGAGAGGGAGGGATTAATTATGGGGTTGTACAGTTTGATTGGGGGCGGGGGTGAGGGAAACGGAAAGAATCTGATTTTTAAAATAATGTATTCAAATTTTGTAAATAAACTAGTATAAATTTTTAAATAAAAGGAATATATAATTAGGCATTATATGTATGACAACAGCCCAGAATAAGAGGTGCATTGTGAAGAGGACTGGGGCAGGCAGGTAATTGTGAAACAATGAATGAATATCTAAAAAAAAACAAAAAAAAAGTGAACTGGGAGAGGGCAAAAAGAGGGAGAGCATAAAAATGTGCAACGATGAATGAATACAAATCTAACTTTTCTGTAGAATGCAATTAAAACCATAATTAAAATTAAAAATTTTGTTAAAAAATTAAAAAAACAGATTACATGAATCATAAAGACATGTTGTAATACTTTTTTAAAAAAGGAATGTGAGTTATTTCCTTCAGATAAATCTTTCTTTACATGTGTTTAAGATAGGTTTAGAAGCAGGAGTGGCATCCACTACTAAACTAATATGCCTCTGGAAACTCTATGAACTTTGATAAATGACAGTAGTTATAGAAAGACTTCAGGGCTTTTGTTTATAGGGTCGCTATGAGTCATGCTCAACTTGACGGCAATCAACAACACTCCCTATATGTATTATAGGGAGCGGTTGTGGGCTAGAGGATAAGGAGTTACACTGTCAACCCAAAGGCATGCAGTTTGAAACCACCAGAAAAGCTCTTGGGAGAAAGATGAGCAATCTTTTCATCTCTTCTTGTGCATTTTACAGTCTCTGAAAATCCATTAGAGGAACAGCTATGAGTCAGCTCCCACTTGTGAACAATGAACATCTGATGATGGTGATAGGTGTTTATCTCACACAAACTTATTTGTATTTTGTTCTCTAGAGAAATTTGCCTAAGATATTCAGTACCAAGAGTGGTTCTGTTGTTGTTATGTGCCATCAAGTTGCCTGCGACCCATAACAATCCTATGTATAGCAGCTCTGAACCCTGCCCTGTCCTTAGCCAGTCTCACTAATTCCGACATACCAATTCCCATTGCCTCAGTTACTGTATCCATCCAGCTCATCTAGGGTCTTCCTCTCCTGCCTGTCCCTCCACCCTTCCAAGCATGATGTCCTTCTCCAAGGACCAGTGTCTCTGGGCCATGTGCCCAAAGTATGTGAGATGGAGATTCAAAATCCTAGCCTCCAACGACAAACTTCATTTCACCCTCTTCAAGACAGACCTATTTGTTTTCTTGACAGTCCATGGCACCACAATATGAAGGCATCGATTCTTCTTCTGTCATCCCTAGTCATCTCTGAAGTATAACAATAATTGTGAAGATCATGGCCTGGACTAGGTGCACTTTCGTCTCTAGGCTGACATCATTGCTTCTCAGCACTCTGGAGAGGTCCATGATAGCAGATTTTCCCATTGCAATTCATCTTTTGATTTCCTGACTGCTGGTGTAAAGAGTGTTGATTGTGGAGCCGAGCAAACTGTAGTTGTTAACAACCTCAATCTCGTCTCCATCTAATATGATGTGGCCAATTGGCACAATGGTGAGAATCTTTGTCTTCTTGATGTTGAGCTTCAATCCATATTGAAGACTACAGTCCTTGCTTGACCTTCAGGTCCTCCTCAGTTTCAGCAAGCAAGGTTGTGTCATCTGCATAACGTAGGTTGTTATGATGATAACAATAATGATGCCACATTCCTCCTCAGTGGTTCTAGAAAAACAAAATCACAAGGAGTTTTCTAAATTGGTTCTCAAGTTTGACTAGCCTTGAAAAGTGCTGATGGTGGTAATTCCATTAGTAAAGAGGGTTCTGAAAAAGGTGACATTAACATCCCAAGCATCACCATTAGTAGGTCAAGTATTAGTGAGAAGTAAGGCTCTGGGTGACCATGTATTTGATAAATTTCCACAACTTTGTTAGGAAAACAAGTTTAGGGAAGCTGGTTAATTCACCCTACTATGCTACACAAAGTGATGAAATAAAGAGATAAGCTCTGTGCTGTTGAACAAGTTTCACATTAATGAACCTCCAGTTTTCCTTCCAATCGTGCTTTAAAAAAAATCCTTAGTAGTTACTCAGATGACATAACTGACAACTGAACAAAAACTATTTTTTTAATTTAATTTTATTCTATATTGGTTTACTTACAAAGTTCATATACATTGTTTTTCACATCAGATCTTTCCCCTTTCCTTTACCCACCCTTCCCTCCACCCATCAAATTGTGTAACCATATGCTTAAGTACCCTCACTCCCTCCTTTGATTCTAGTACTCCTTCTACAGTAATGGTCTTATACAGTATTTGTCTTTATGAGACTGAGTTAGTTCACTGAGCGTAGTGCTCTCCAGTCCCACCCATGCTAGGTAGTAATTTACAAAATCATTGCTCTTTTGTGCTGCATAATATTCCATTGTCTAAATGTACCATCATTTCTTAATTCATTCCATTGTGGTTAGGCACTTGAGTTGTTTCCATGCTCTTGCTATGGTGAATAATGCTGCTATGAACATTGGTATGTACAAGAGTCTGTTTGTCCCTCAGTTCTCATTTTTCTCAGGTATATCCCAAGCAATGGAATAGCTAGATCATATGGAATTTCTATGCCCAGCTTTTTTTAGGAAACGCCAAACTGCCTTCCAGAGTACCATTTTACAATCCCACCAACAATGTAGAAAAGTTCTTATCTCACCACATCCTCTCCAAAATGTGTTACTTGCTGCTCTGCTAAATCTTGCCACTGCTATTGGGTAAGACGGTATCTCATTATGGTTTTGATTTGCATATCTTAC